CCCGCGGTTACTATAGCGCGGGTACACTGTTACTATAACGCGGTATTATAGCGGCCTTAACTCACTCATCCTACCTCGGAATGAGGTGATCCAAGATGTGTTAGAAAGCTGACAAAGAGACCTTCAACTTTTGTCTTTTGAATTTTCCAGCTTCAAATTGTATCATGGTCAAAATGTCAATCCTTTGTGCGGGCCACTTTGAGGTGTTTGACACTTTCCGACTTCTCCGGATTTGTATTACGCATTTCGTCATTCCGTTGACTTGTACACTCCAATGACTCACTTTGTATATTCGTTAGCTTCCACGGGACCGAATAATCCTTTCCTGACTTGAATGATGACGCTTATCACCTTCTCTTTGTCTCGAGCTGTATTCGGGGACCTATAGGCAATTTTTGACGCCTACAAATACCCCCTCTAAAGAATTTCAGACTCGTTCTTTTATAGGAGAGTCTGAAATGCTTTGGATAAGATAGGCCATTTCTTCAATCTCGTAGAGGGACCTATAAACTGCTTCAATTCTTGACTTCTTCAGCCTTCAGTCTATTCAGTGTTTTGTCTAATAAATGAAGTTCTTCCGGTGCTGTGTTTATCGTCTGACCGTTGTCGAAATCTTGGATTAAAGTTGATGTGTAAGTTTTTGAATTTAGCTCTTATCGTTGAGTTGACTTTGAACTGATCATCTTCGTCAGAAATTCATATCTAAATCCGATTGAACTCCCTGGAATTATCATTTGCCTTATTTTGGCAAAATTGTTAATGCGTTGACCGGCGTAGACTTTTACTATAATGTGTTGTGCGGTGGCGACTTTTGTTGTAGTCTACACAGTTTAAGCTCTTAAGACGTTGGAGCGTAGCGATCCCAAATTTTAGGCTGTAGGACCAACTATTAAAGTTGTTTCGTCTGCAGATATAGATCTTATCCCGAAGTCGTTGGATGCTCGAGTCACGACACCAACTATCGGAGCTGATATGTCAATGACTCATATTTATAGAATTTTTGGTAAATTCTCAGCCATCAATGGGTTTGATTTGCCTTTACCGACTACCGTTTGAGTCGGGCTAGCATGCAGATTGTTTAGACCCGTTCTGCACGTAACGTTGTGCTAAAAGAGTTAACTCTTTTAGTGCTACGATATTGAATACGTAGACTTCATCTTTCTCACGAGAATAGACTAACCGACAATGCGTGTTAGACGCTAACTTAGGATTTTTGGCAAATCCTCAGCCTTCAACGAATTTGACGTGCCTTTACCGATCACCGTTTGAATCGGGCTTGCATTCGAATTGTTTAAGTCCGTTCCGCATGTAACGTCATGCTAAAAGAGTTAACTCCTTTAGTGCTATGATATTGAATACGTAGACTTCATCTTTCTCACGGGAATAGACTACCCAGCAACGCATGTTAGGCGCTGACTTATCCCTACTTAGGCTTTGGGATAAAAATCCCCAGACTCTGATTCTGGTGTCTTCTTCAAATGGTGAAAGACTAAACCAGCAACACGTGTTAGGCATTGACTTATCCTTGCTCAGGATTCAGGATAAAATTCCCCGTGCGTGTGAGGCACGGATTTTGGTGTTATGAATAACAACCTGCCACAATGTCGAATATGTGGGCTTTTATCCTTTTTACGGTAAAAGACTGGCCGACAACGTGTGTTAGGCGCTGACTTATCCCTACTTAGGATTCGGGATAAAATTTCCCGTGCGTGTGAGGCATGAATTTTGGTGTTATTAATAACAACCTACCACAAATATCGAATATGTGGGCTTTTGTCCTTTTTACTATAAAAGATTGACCGACAACGCGTGTTAAGCGCTGACTTATCCCTACTTAGGATTCGGGATAAAATTCCCCGTGTGTGTGAGGCACGGATTTTGGTGTTATTAATAACAACCTTCCACAATATCGAATATGTGGGCTTTTGTTCTTTTTACTGTAAAAGACTGACCGGCAACGTGTGTTAGGCGCTGACTTATCCCTACTTAGGATTCGGGATAAAATTCTCCGTGCGTGTGAGGCACGGATTTTGGTATTATTAATAACAACCTGCCATAATATCGAATATGTGGGCTTTTATCCTTTTTACGGTAAAAGACTGACCGGCAACGCGTGTTAGGCGCTGACTTATCCCTATTTAGGATTCCGGATAAAATTCCCCGTGCGTGTGAGGCACGGATTTTGGTGTTATTAATAACAATCTGCCATAATATTGAATATGTGGGCTTTTGTCCTTTTTACGGTAAAAGACTGACCGGCAATGCGTGTTAGGCGCCGACTTATCCCTACTTAGGATTCGGGATAAAATTCTCCGTACGTGTGAAGCACGGATTTTGGTGTTATTAATAACAATCTGCCACAATATTGAATATGTAGGCTTTTGTTTTTTTTTACGGTTAAGAACTAACCGACAACGCGTGTTAGGCGTTGACTTATCCCTACTTAAGATTCGAGATAAAATTCCCCACGCGTGTAAGGCACGGATTATGATGTTATTAATAACAACTTGCCACAATATTGAATATGTGGGTTTTTGTTCTTTTTTTACGATTAAGAACTAACCGGCAACGCGTGTTAGGCGTTGACTTATCCCTACTCAGGATTCAGGATAAAATTCCCCGTACGTGTGAAGCACTGATTTTGGTGTCATTAATAGCAACCTACCACAATATTGAATATGTGGACTTTTGTTCTTTTTTTACGGTTAAGAACTAACCGACAACGCGTGTTAGACCTTAACTTATCCCTACTCAGGATTCGGGATAAAATTCCCCGCGCGTGTAAGGCACGGATTATGGTGTTATTAATAACAACCTGCCATAATATTGAATATGTGGGCTTTTGTTCTTTTTTTACGGTTAAGAACTAACCGGTAACGTGTGTTAGACGTTGACTTATCCCTACTCATGATTCGGGATAAAATTCCCCGCGCGTGTAAGGCACGGATTATGGTGTTATTAATAACAACCTGCCATAAAATTCCCCGCGCGTGTAAGGCACGGATTATGGTGTTATTAATAACAACCTGCCATAATATTGAATATGTTGGCTTTTGTTCTTTTTTTATGGTTAAGAACTAACCGGCAATGCATGTTAGGCATTGACTTATCCCTACTCAGGATTCGGGATAAAATTCCCCGTGCGTGAAAGCCACAGATTTTAGGAGTTTGAAAAAAGTGGTGTCTTCTCCTGGGGCAAAGACGAACCCGATGCGGGAGAGGAAGAATTTTATATTCTATCTCCCAAAGCTGAAGAGGAAGAATTTTATATTCTATTTCCAGTCACAAAAGGAAAGTCAAAGTTGGATCTCCACTTCAAGAATTCGGTAAGGTGAAACTAAGAGTGGGATCTCCAATCCGAGAATCAAAAAGATTCGAATAATCCTAACTGTCGGAAGGTTTGATTATCGAACTAAAAGGTGGGTAGAATCAAAAAGATTCGAATAATCCTAACTGTCGGAAGGTTTGATTATCGAACTAAAAGGTGGGTTTCTCGTTTATCGAGAGTGAATTAGGTTTGATTATCGAACTAAAAGGTGGGTTTCTCGTTTATCGAGAGTGAATTATGATTTTGGCCCTAACTGTAGGAAGGTTTGGCCAAGCGAGAGTTTGAAGTGACCCTAACCGTAGGAAGGTTTCATCACTCGATTTAAAAGTGGACCTCTCGTTCATTGGAGGAATCGAAAGGGGATTTTGGTTGTGGTCCTAACTGTAGGAAGGTTTGACCAGGTAAACAGTGGGAGTGGGAGTACAAATTACAGTGGGAGTGTTGACTTGTACAAATCACTCAAAGGGGGTTCTTGGTGTTAAGTGTCAAATACTTAACACGGAGGGGTTTGACAATCGTCAATGATCAAGATAATAAAATTCCGAGCACCATATCTAGACTCTAACAACGAGGATGTTGAGTGCACATATACATCAAAAGTTTGAGTGGATTTAACCGAAAGGAATTTTTTAGTGATCCTACTGTCAATTAGTCTGATTGGTGGGGG